CCCCGCTCCTGGCCGCCGACACCACTGCATTGATGCTACCAACCGCAACAGGTATCCGTGACGTTCACGACGTGGATCGCCAGCCTCTTCGCGGGCGTGTGGAGAGTCGTGCTGACCCCACTCGACACTTGCAAGACTGTGCTCCAGGTGGAGGGGCCCAAGGGCTTCGCGTCCTTGATGAAGAAGGTATGTACCCATGCTGCTAGTAGTAGACGCTGCTTGTGGTAGCACTTGACTGTCATTTTGTTTCTGCCGTGCTGTACCCGATTCCGGCACCGTTACCGTTGTGAGCGTATCTGGTGTTTCGCCGTCGGTCGTAATTTATTTCGTGAATGATTGTTTCATATGTCGCATTTGCTGGCGAGGTGGCGCGTCCCTCAGCCACGAGTAGCAATACTCCTTTTCGCGTCCATCTCTCTCGTCTCACAATCCGAAACAATCGTGTGTTGCCAGCTAAAATCGATCAGCCCAAACCCTGTGGGAAATTACAAAAATGGTTTACCACCGACTTGCAAGGTGTGGGGTGGCCAACTCGGTTGCCTGTACCAAGGGGCTACCGCCGCCGCCGCCGCAACGGCCGTGGGGTACTTCCCGTGGTTCCTGACCTTCAACTTCCTCAACGGGCGGCTGAGGAGGCCCTCCGCCTTGGCGGGGATGCTCCTGAGGAACGCCGGCATCGGCCTCGCGTCTTCGGTCTCGTCGGACGTGTGCTCCAACTCCATACGCGTGCTCAAGACCACCAAGCAAGCGGCGGCCGCCTACGACTCGAAGGTCACGTACAGCGGGGCGGCGGCTCTGGTAATCGAGAACGACGGCTTGTTGGTGAGCTTTTTGTTTTTTGGGGGGGCAGGGTTGACAAAATGGGGCATACCCCGCGTGTCTAGGCACAAGATATTATTTATTTTTTTCGGTACGGGGCGCAATGCCTGACGCTTTTTTTTTTTTGTCCGTTTGGGTCCTAAATTCGGACGGTGACATTCATTGCCGATTCTTCTGGGTAACGGCGATTTTTTTTTCACGGAATACCTTGTTCTTACCACCCCCTGGCTTCTCATAAGACCCGGTGTATCGCTCAGTCGGAATGCGAGGCTAATGGTATGGTCTAATGATTAGGGCATGCGTTTTCATGAGAACACCCCTTCCCCCTCTAAAAAAGACAGTTTTTGACCATTCGGATTCGAGAGACCAACTTGGTTGACATGCTCGTAGCTATCAACGCGCTCAGGAGCTTGTGTGTCCTGCATTAAGCCAAACTAATAAGCAATGCCCCCCTAATTTCGTGTGCCCTTCGTTCTGATCCTTCGGTGCGCTTCAGGGCCTCTTCGGTCGAGGCCTGTCTACCAGAATCCTCGCGAACGGATTGCAGTCGATGCTGTTCACGGTGGTTTGGAGATACTTGCACGACAAGTTTGTGGTGCCGAGGAGGGAGGCTGCGGAGCTACGGGATGTTAGAAATAGCCATAGCCGTCAGGGTAGCAGCAGTAGCAGTAGGACGAGCCGGCGGTCATCATCGGCCTCCCCAAGAACATAGCTTGGATTAAGGTATTGAAGGCTGCTCTGGTGATAGTCGACGGCGAGCGGTGGAAAGGCGGCCGCGGTGCTTTGAGTTTGCCGAGTTAGGGGTGGCCGATGGTCCCCGATACATGTCTGCCCAAACCGTCGAACGTAGAGTTGTCTTTGTTGAGATCGAAACAGCGCCCTGTCGGGCCTTCTCCTCCCCGTAGCGTGGCGGCACAAGCTGCAGCCTAGACGTGTGTGGTGTCAACAGTTTCAGTGGATATTGAAAATACTTGTCGAACATCCATCATGTTATCGTTTTTTGTCGTAGAATGGGCCCCAAAATCCCGGTCACGAAAAGCGTGCCTCGCGTGCGTCGCAGAGACGGTAGCGGCGCCGGCGCGGCAGAGCCGTTGAGGGCGGACCTCCTCCTTCGCTTCTTATGAAGAGCATATTTCCTCGGCGCTCCTTGTGGGCAAGAAGCACCGCGTGGCCGTTGAACGTCACGATACAAAAGGTGTTCGGTTTGCGGAGCAAGCCCAAGTGCCGTCCCGTTTCTTCACGGCCATTCGAAAGGTAGGGCACCGGTACCCGGATCACATGTCGCATGGGCGGCGGTGCAGTCGTCAGAGACAGCTCGTATCGGCTACCCTCCCGCCGTCGAGTACGTTACAGAGTCTGGGTTGGAGTCTTGTGATGCACCATGGAACACGGCCCATATAGGGCAAAGGTACAGCAGATCCTTTCAGACTGGGTGCGTCCATGGGTGCGTTTATAGAAAAGCAACGTGCACGTTGTCATAACTTGGAAATAAACAACGACAACGCACACGTTGTCATTTCTGCTTCTGGTGGCTGCTGGTGTCTACGTGCGTGTGGGGGCCGCTTCGCAAGCCGACTCTACAGCGAAATCACCTACTACCTATTGCGCCGTGGTTTATTCCGCCACGAAATATAATACAAATTTGGATGCGGTATAACAGCGGCTTGTATTTCAGAAACAATCGGCTAGTGTTGCGGCAATTGGTCGGGCATCGATGCGGCCAGCACACACCTAACGCGTTGTCCGTTCTGAGCGAATGCCCTATACGTCAAGCTTGCCTACGGTGTTGTTTTCTTCGGCGCACGCGCCAGCTTTGAAAGTTCGAATAGTGCGGGACTGCATGCTGTAGGCAGTAACAACGCCACGTCTTGATTTTGGCTCAAGAAAAAATTGGCTTTGATGCACAGGCATTTGAACTCCCCACACAGACAGCTTGTCGAAACAACTCTTGGAAGGAAACTCGCGATCGCACAACGTTTTTTTCCAACTCTTAATGTAGATTGGAGATCTAGGTGCGAACAACAAGTATTGTACAGAAACAAGTGTTCGGGTGGACTGAAAACGAACTTGAACACGTCGGTCCATTCTTCAACACAACCATTGTCTGACCCCGTGTGTGAACCCCCTCCCCCTGCCAAGTTGTTTGTGCCATAAAAAGAGAACCGTCTGTTCTGGCCCAACCAAGGAACGTGCAAGCGCTTTGTAGTGAAATCCTAGAGGAAGTATCTCTATTGATACTGCGTCCGCGTGATGAGTCGGGACCGACAACGTAGCTGGATGCAAATCGGACAACGTTGTCCTGACCGCATCTCTGGTACTGAAACCTAGGTTCGCTGGATATGGAGGGGCGTGGAACATCTACACCAACCAATAAGAACCCTCACATCCACCATTAACAGGTTTCGGTTCCACCAACTTCAGTTCGGGATGAAGTGACATTCGGGAATGTGCAAAGCCGTGCCTTCCCCCACCCAGTCGCAAGCCCCAATCGCCTGCGAAGGCTTTGAAACGTTCGACATATATAACTGACAGGAAGGCGCCTGATAAACGCCTCAATTCGCGTGAATAACCTGGAGGGGAAAGAAATACCATTCGTGCCGAGAACAACAGCAGCAGTAGAACTACTCTTTCTCTACCAGATCGCCTAATAATCGGTAGGTCCGTTTTCCTCCTCAACACACCCCCAGGTCAAAACGTGACACGGGCTGCTCGTCCAATGGCATGTCACGAACGCCGGGCTTCACGCTCTCAAAAATGCCTCCCTGCACGAACAGACCCTCACAGGTTACCAACTGCCCAACGGCAGAGCACGCTCTCTCCGACGACGGCCATCTTTCTTTGCGGTCATTTAAGGACATGCCTCGCAGCCATCGCAGTCCCCACAGCCTCGGCAAATCTGTCCTAGGCCGAAGTCTGTCGAGAAAGAACGAACGGGGCGGATGACCATGTAGAGAGAAAGAGGGGGGCGGGGGTCGATACAGTGACATGACGGAGAGGAGAGGAGGAGATACAATTTTGCAGCTTTCCCTCTACCGCGCAAAAAACACACTGACCACGCAAGAGGAAAAAGAACTGCGCGAAGCGCCGGCGGTTCACCGCAGAAACAACCGTCTGCCTTCCTCCCGCTGCACAACGAGGCATAAAGAACGACAAGAAGGCTTTCAAAACTCAGGGTTCGTTCGCATGATGATGAGCAGGTACAGAGTGCGGAAACCAACCGGGTGTACATAAAGAACCCGACTGTGGCACGGGAACAAACAGGGCTCACAGTCACAATCCAGGATGTCCACGCCGTCCAAGCAGTCGGGATCGCACACCACCCTCTTTGCACCGCCGGGGTATGCGGCCAGTGCCAGCATCTGCACCTCGGACAGATTCGAGCATGCCTCGCAGTCCGACGTGGTATCGGCGTCGGCGCCATCACCTATCGCACCAAGGACACGACCAAAAACGATGCGGGAAGTTTGCGGAAAGCATGCATGAGAAATAAAAACGAGTGGAAAATAGAAAATAGGACGCATAAATCTGGATGTCTACTGCACTCCGACTGTTTCTTGCCCGCCAAGAGGGTACAACCATACCACTCGTGTGTTGCTTTGGAGTCTGTCAGGTCCGATCACGCACATGCACCGCACATGCACCGCCTTCCCGTTCACAAAACACGCCACATTTTTCTTTCTATCTTTTCAAGCGAAAACCAGACCTATCTGTCGCTTGTAGCAAGTAGGCACATCATGTTTTTAGCTCCTTGTGGAAAAGTCCGCCACCATCCGTCTCTCCTACGTCGACTTTTTCCCTCTTGTCAACTTTGCTCTCTTCATGGTGATTTAAGCCCAGTCAGTCAAGCACTGTATTGCGAATGAAAGTTGCTGACCAAACGCTCGCTAGGGCACGCGAGTGAGTGCTGACGAAACATCCAGACCATTTCTCGCAATGTACCCTTTGCGATTCTTCACTTCGACGGACGTGTGCTCGAAATCATGTCCTGTATAGGGCAAAAGGGCCACGTACCGTCGGCATCCGTGTCCACGTCAACCTCGACGTCGACACCGGCATCGGCCGTAGGGGCCATAGGATTCACAGGGGCGGGCGTCGAGAGATCAGCAAAGTCAGTCTCGGCGGGAGTTCCAGTGCCATACGCGGCCGAAACGTGGGGAGCGGGGGCGTAAGTCACGTTCTCTTCCACGGCAACCGTCTCGTTGGCAGTCGGCGACACGGTACCACGGGTGACGAACGGGGCAAAGCCATCGGCTGGAGCCAGGGTTTCCGCCGTGCTGGCGATCGGGGCGGGGGACGGGACCGGGCCGGGGCACGGGGTGCAGTTGGTGCAGTCCCCACAACCGCGGCAGATCTGCGCAATATCAAAATCTGCGTGTTTTGATCGAATTAGAGTAAGAAGGGAGAGGGAGAGAGATACAGAGGTACAGAGAGAGAGAGACAGAGGGAGACAGAGAGACAGAGAGGGACAGAGAGAGACAGAGAGAGACAGAGAGAAACAGAAGGACGAGGAGACAAGCAGATACAGAGCGAGAGGCGAGACAGAAAGACCATTGGGTGTGGTGAAGGGCTGTAAATACGGTAGCAGGAGGGGGAACAATGACCTCCAAAAGCACTTCAAAATCGGACGTGTTTGACGTAGTAGTACGTCTGAATCGTACGCCTAACCTACCCTGGGAAAGAAACCAAGCGGGTACATGTATTGCGCTGATTCACCCTACAACACGACCCCTACCGACGCCAAATATGACTCACAGTTACAAGAGGCGACGTCGTAGGGACTGCTGCTCAAGCAGTCGACATCGCATACCACCCTCTTTCCGCCATTGTCGTAGCTGGCAAGAGCCTCCACCTGAGCGTTTGACAGGCTCGAGCACGCGGCGCAATCGTACTCGTCTTCGTCGCCGCCATCAGAAGGAGTAGGTGCAGGCGTGTCTGGGCTTCCGAAGGGGGCCACCACCACAGCCGGCGCCGCTGTGACGAGGGATGATGGCGCCGAAGGTTCGGAATCATCGAATCCGATCGCCACCGGCCCCGGAGTAGTCTCGACCGTTGGGATAGATACTGGCGTTGTAGGCGTTGCCTCCGGAGATGATGCGGGGCTCTCGCCTAGAGCAGGTGCAGGTGTGTCTGGGCTTCCGAAGGGGGCCACCACCACAGCCGGCGCCGCTGTGATGAGGGCCGATGGCGCCGAAGGTTGGGAATCATCGAATCCGATCGCCACCGGCCCCGGAGTAGTGTCACCCGTAGGGGTAGATGCTACCGGTCCTGGCGTTGCCTCCGGAGACGATGCGGGGCTCTCGCCTAGAGCAGGTGCAGGTGTGTCTGGGCTGCCGAAGGGGGCCGCCACCACAGCCGGCGCCGCTGTGACGAGGGACGATGGCGCTGAAGATTCGGAATCATCGAACCCGATCGCCACCGGCCCCGGAGTAGTGTCACCCGTAGGGGTAGATGCCACCGGTCCTGGCGTTGTCGGCGTTGCCTCCGGAGATGATGCGGGGCTCTCACCTAGAGCAGGTGCAGGTGTGTCTGGGCTTCCGAAGGGGGCCACCACTACAGCCGGCGCCGAGGTGATTAGGGATGATGGCGCCGAAGGTTCGGAATCATCGAATCCGATCGCCACCGGCCCCGGAGTAGTGTCACCCGTAGGGGTAGATGCCACCGGTCCTGGCGTTGTAGGCGTTGCCTCCGGAGATGATGCGGGGCTCTCACCTAGAGCAGGTGCAGGTGTGTCTGGGCTTCCGAAGGGGGCCACCACCACAGCCGGCGCCGCTGTGACGAGGGATGATGGCGCCGAAGGTTGGGAACCGTCGAAACCGATCGCCACCGGCCTCGGAGTAGTCTCGATCGTAGGGGTAGATGCTACCGGTCCTGGCGTTGCCTCCGGAGATGATGCGGGGCTCTCGCCTGGAGCAGGTGCAGGCGTTTCAGGGCTTCCGAAGGGGGTCACCACCACAGCCGGCGCCGCTGTGACGAGGGATGATGGCGCCGAAGGTTGGGAACCGTCGAAACCGATCGCCACCGGCCTCGGAGTAGTCTCGATCGTAGGGGTAGATGCTACCGGTCCTGGCGTTGCCTCCGGAGATGATGCGGGGCTCTCGCCTGGAGCAGGTGCAGGCGTTTCAGGGCTTCCGAAGGGGGTCACCACCACAGCCGGCGCCGCTGTGATGAGGGATGATGGCGCCGAAGGTTGGGAATCATCGAAACCGATCGCCGCCGGCGCCGGAACAATGTCGCCCGTCGGGGTTGATGCTGACGTTGTTGGCGTTGCCTCCGGAGATGATGCGGGGCTCTCGCCTAGAGCAGGTGCAGGCGTTTCGGGCGCGAAAAGCTTGTCGGAAGCGGTCGGCACTGTCGTGGTCATTTTGTGCGACGGCGTCGGTGCGCCCGTGGGCGTGCTCGCGTTTGCCAACTGAAGCCTACGCCCGTAGGCAGCAATGGCGGTCCTGAACACGAGGGATATCGGAGTATGGGGGAAACGGCATGGGCATCATGACACTCGGCCGACGCGATGACCAGCAACGCATCAGGTACGGAGCATGGGGATACACCGTCCCTGGCGGAAACGGCCACTACGTGGCGGTGACGCCCGATGTAACGCGCTCGGTACTCTGGGCACAGGCAAACACCCATCCACGGTGTCGCTTGGCCCACACACGACGTGCAGCATCATCGCTGACGGTGTCGTCCGAGAACGTAGGTATGCGGGTGGACCCGAGAAGTGATACAACCCAAAGGAGCAAGTCAACTTCCGCGTTTCCTACCAAAACGCTGGAAAGTGAGGACCCGATGTGGGCGGGTGAAAACTGTGTCCAGCGAAAGCATCCTGCGAATGGGTTCAGGTCGGCAAGGACCCTGCGGCAGACGCTCACCGGCTATCGCTGGTGCACTCCGGCACGGCCCACAGGCCTTGGAACGGGCCACCGGAAGCTAGAATTGCGGTTCCGACCGTGACATCGGTGGTGTCCAGGACGACTGACACGCCCAGGAGATCTTCTGCGATAAACGTCACCTGTCAGGAGCCGACGGGCAGGTTTAGCTACATAGGGTGTCGGCGTTCACGTAAACATGTGTTTTTTTGTGCGGTGTACCAATACTGGGAACAGTAGAGCACTTGCAAAGGCCTTCAGAGGGGTCGACCTCTCTCGTCCCGCGAAAGCAAGGGCTATGGGTGAAATCTGGATCTGTAGTGAGTTTGTTGGATCCTGCTTGTCCAATGATTTACCATGACATCCCTTGGCTAACAAAGTCATGGTCCAATCAGCAGTACTGGCGAAGATTGTTGGAGACAGAACGTGAATTTCGCCACGACGTACATAACATGCCTCACATCGGTCTACTCAGAATTCTCGGCTTCGGCTTTTACTCGTGTGCCGGTCGGTCCCGTAAACAAAAAACAACCTCCACTTTTGCCTTCGAGGAGACACCAGGCTGACGTGAGCAGGCATTCTGCAAAAGCAACCGTCGACATCATAAGCAGTATTGACCTTGTTGTTGTCGAAGTCGCCGGCGACACTCGGGTGAAAGTTGACGGACACGACAGGCACGTTGAACTCCAAGGTCACGGACTCCCCAGAGATGGCGTAGGGCCCTAAGAGCACAGATGGACGCAGGATGAGGGCGTTGAGTTTCACTGTCCGCCCCCTGAATGGTGTACATGCCACCCCATCTCTTAGTCGACGCTAATGACAATACCCTTTCTCTGCTACGGAGTAAGGGTCCCCGAAGTGGTGATTGACCGTTCACCGGCGGAGGTATTTCGCTCTTGTTGCAATGTGGCGAGGAATTGCCAAGCGTGGCCGACGTTGGCCGGCCTTGCTATTTTTTAGGAAAGGTCAAATATGAGAGTGAACCTCGAGGGCACCCTTTCGTCCCCGGCTGGTCACAGCAGGCGGAGAACGTTCCTTTGTAAACATCTTGAGATCCCGAGAACATCGTTCGTAGGGGTTCGGATCTATACTGGTTGTACGTGCGTCACTACCACATTAGGAAGATATCTATATCTTTCCATATTGCCTTAGATCAAGTCATGTCCGTCCAGTGCTGGAAAAGATAGATGGCTGCAAGGTCGGACGGAGAATGAATATAGAAATACAATCTTCGCCGAGTTCCATTGAGCCCGGAGTTTCCAACCCGTGGTATACTGCATTCTGCCAAATCACACAGCTTGCGAAAAATCATTCAGCAAGTGCTGTACACAACTTAAACATTGGGAGAGATATGAAGGCTACAAAGACAGTCTAATCCTATGCATGTTGACCCACAACGGATGTGATACTGCCAGGTCAGCTTGTCTATGCTTGTCCTTTGTTCTCCCAACCGAGTATGTATCTACTAGTATGCTCTTGGTTGCTGTTGCCGGTACAACCCTTTTTGCTTCGACACATTGAGGCCAACTCACAGGTATTGCTGGAGTTGCCACCTGACGGATTCCTGCCCTCCTGTTTATTCCGTCGTTGTCGCGTCGTCTTGTCCATCACGGGCCGTGTAGTCTATGCGTATATTTGTGTCAAACGGGGATGATGAGGCAGTCACAAAAGCGGAGTTGACTTAGTGCGTGTGTGTGTCGACGCATTCATCCTTTCTTACGCCTCCAATTTTTAGTATACTCACCGTTCACGGATGTATGTATCTGCTGTGCTGGCCGGGTTGGTCCACACACATGCCTCCGAAAATTAGGTTTCCTAATGAACCCTCTGCTAGGGTAGGCGAACAAGTACTATGTTCATTCCGAGTACATTGTATATTCACCTGTGTTATGGTGAACACAAAGCCCGTTGTTTTCAGTTCCTCATCCACCCCTGGTGCAGGCGTGTGGCATGATGACACAATGTCCACGTCCTTCATCTGAAGGTGCGACGCTCGAAGACTAGGGGAGGCTTGGACGGCACTGGATCGAGCTGCTACGGCCAGTAGAGCCATTGCCACTCTACCGGTTCTCATTTTCATGCGCGGTTTCGTTTGAGGCAGATGCATCCCAGACTATCTTACAGACTCATGCAGCGCATACATACACGTTGGCTATATCCCGAAGGGGTGATTTTTTTTCAGGGAGCGTCGCTGTGTTCGTAACGAGTACGAGACGCAGGCCAGGCGGCCGGTGGGACCGGGAGAGCTTGTTCGGCACACGATGAAGCCACACTCCCAGCAACTCCCAAAGAATGTCAGGTACGTTCACTGTTCGCCGGTCCCGTGGTCGTGGGATCGCGACCTCGACTGCGACTGCTGTGTGTGTGTGTGAAACGCCTGTAGGTTGGTACGCTGATGGCCTTTTTCGTTTGATACAACAGTCTATCCAGAGTATCCAAAGTAGCGTACACGCTCTAAAGATAGATGGCTTTACGTGGAAGGGTCCAGGCAGTGTCCTCGCGTTCACGGTGGTCAGTTTTCAGTGTCGCTACTGCGCTGCTGCGCATGAGTTGTACTGCAGGCAGCGGCATGATATGTGCCGGTTCGTTTTTTTTTTTCTTAATATGACACAATTTGAAAAACGCGGAGGAATTACAGCGTAAATTATCGTATTTCGTATTTATTTCGTCTTGTCCTCTCGTGGTCTCGTTGTTCTGTGATCCACCTCACTCATTGCGATCTCTCTCTCTCTCTCTCTCTCTCTCTCTCCCTGTGTTCATCTATCTATCTGTTTCTATCTCTCTGTTACACGATAGGGTTCGTCTAGGTATCCCTGCGGTCCTTGTCCACGCCTGGACTAAGTTTATGTACTGTAGACTAGTCAACTCGGGAAATGGATTGCGCGCTTGTTTGCGGAATAACACAGCCTAGACGAGCCTAGACTACACTATGTACTAGTCTACTGAAAGTTTACTTGTACAGCAGCAGCAGTTCTACCATCAAGAACTGACACAATGTAATGTGGACAAGGACAAAAGCGCAGGAAACCAAAGAATGCCTCGCAACGCAGATAGATGGCCACACACACAGGGTGTACGTCTGTCAGCAATGCCCTCTTGTTTGCGTCTCACGAATTTAACAGATAGATAGCCGGCAATCAATCGTACTCTTTTGGAGACAGAGAACGAGATCATTCCTGTATGATGAGGGGGGAACGCTGCTTGGGTCCTGTTCGAGATCAATGTTTTTTTAGGATGATTCCGACCAGAGACATTTGCGAAGGTGTTGCAGGTTCGCGCTGCAATTAAAAAAACGCCGTTGGAAATCGTGCATTTAGTGCGATTGTTCGATGTATGTTTTACACATTTATATATTTTCCGAACAGCTTACTTCACGAAAGAAAATGCGATGCTATAATAACCAGGCAATAGCTGCGGGGGCAAAACTGCTGATCTTGTGCCGCTGTGAGGACGTGTCACCCGCAAACAAACACCGCTCGCTAGTGTGCAGAAACACTTATTATTGAGAACATGGAACACCCCAGGGTGTCCGCGTTGTTCGTGCTCGTTTGTGCCCCCCCTGCGTGTCTATGAGTTCGCTCCGGGGTACCTTCCTCACCTAACATCTGTCTGCCCCATGGGGTGATCACGGCATAAGTTGTCGACGGCATCCATTCAGTAAAGTGTTGTTCTTGTTTTTTCACAATGAAAAACATGCACTAACAGAAAATTGAGGATGCCCTGACATGGCAACGCACAGAGAATACATACATGTTAAGGAGGACCCGATTCGCAGGGTATCCGTCCATTGACTTTTACCTGAATCGGTACACTTTCGCATGTGACGTCAGGTGGATACTGGTTCGAATCTCCTTGGGTGCACACTTTTTCTCCTGACTTGGATATTTTCCCACGGACACAATGTGTGTCAGTCCTGAGAACATCTCTTGGAGTCGATCCTACAAAGAACCTTGTGACACTTCCATCGACTTACCCATCCTGACCACAAGAGGTTCCCAGTTGAGGGTAAATTCTGTGGGTGGAGAGTGTTAAGGAGGACCCGATTCGCAGGGTATCCGTCGATTGACTTTGTACCTGATTCGGTACTACACCTTCGCATACAACCGAACACACACGAAGACAACCCCACCCGTCATCGACCTCCTTGACTGAGGGTTGTATAGTGGTTTTATTGGTTGAAAAAAGCACCTGCATGCAGTCGGCTCGTGCGTGCCCGTCCGTTTTGGAGCTCTGAGGGGGCGACGGTGATTCACACAGAGGGGGAGCTCGACAAAAATAAAAGCTCGCCGTCGAGCATTTCTTTCAACCAGGGGGCGTTTCCTGTCTCTGGCAACCCCGCCAAAAAAACAAGAGTTCGTGAAAAATAATTATTGACGCAACCCGAGGGTGCTCTCAGAGTAGAGGTCGGTAAACACCACACTATTCAATACGGCATTGAGCCCATCGTTAACGTCGAACCGAGAGAAAGCGGAGACGATCACGACCTCTCGTTTCCCCAAATATTGCGGATCTACTGACAACCAGCATCTGAGCCTTCGACGGACTTCAGAAGTAAACACCAACACAAACGAATGAAGAAATCAATTCACAACCACCGGGCCCCCCTTGCTGAGCACACGACTATACACACGCGCTACGACATATCTACATGCTACACCGACACAATATCGGCTTCTTCTTGCCCTTTCATGATACTCCAATCAACAGAGATATTGACGAGTTCACGATACGTTTGGATCACCACAGCAACAACAATGAAACTTCTAAAAAAACACACCAACAGCCACGTCAGCAACGGCAACGTTCGTCCTTTATCACTACTGTGCACTCACGCCGCGTCCATCATGACTACGAAGGATGCACCATCCGCTATATATTTATAATAGACGTTCTTACACGAAGGAGGCGGCACTAGACTCTTGCTCGCCGGCACCCCCACAGACGTACACACTCGACATGCCGACGCCGTGGGAGCAGGTCATCATCACGTTGTCGACCGAGACCAGCTGGGCATCGCCAACCATGCCAGCGGTCGGGCACAGTGACCCGTGACCGGCGGCGACGCGCACGAGCTCCTCGCAGCTCTCGGCCTCCGCTCCCGGAGCGCACCTCGCCCGCGTCCCCGCGGTAAGGCATCCCTGAAAGACGGGGGCTGCTGCTGCCGTCGCCGAAGACGCCTCCCTGTCGCCCGTAGCACCCTGGATCAGCGCCGATAGCCTTGCGATTCGCAGCCACGAGTAGGCGTCCTGCTCGGCCTGCATCGCGGCCATCACCCCGATCGCGCGGATGTCGCACAGGTCGCCCAGGCGCACGCCACACTCCGCCGCTGCCCTGCCGCCGTCCCCTCTCCGGCGGTCATCCTGCTCCCCTCTGCCGCCGTGTGCTAAGCTGATCGATTCGTCGGTCTTGACCTCCGTCACGGACAGGTACCCGTGGGCGGGCAAGTTCCGCGCGACCCCCGCCGGTGCACCCCCCGCTTGCCCGAGAGCCGCTGCCCCCTCGCGGGCACCCGCCCGCTGGAGAACGCCGATGCCTAGCGCGCTCTGCATGGCGAACTTCTCGAAGCGGGTGGAGGCGGAGACGACCTGCTTGCACCACTCGGCGGCGCTGATGACCCCGCAAGGCCAGCGGGGACGCTGCCAAAGAGAGTCGCCGGCGCCCGCCCCGCAGCCGCCCGCGAACCCGCCGTCCAGCGTCGGGACCGCCGTTGCCGCCTCCGTCTGCTTCGACTCCAAGGGCACCACCTCGGCGATATCGCCGCCCGACACGCTCGCCACGCGGAACTGCGAGCCCCGGAGCGCGATGTCGTTCCCAGCGTGGACGAGATGGAGCGACGCTTCGCTGTCCGGGAGGCAGGTCAGTATCGCCCCCACCGCTTCCGCGGCCACCGTCACGCGCTCCCTCGAGCCGGGGTCCCGGACGGAGGCGTACGCGGGGTAGCCCGCCGCCGCCACGGTGGACACGAGAGGGCACCGGCTACTGCTGCTGCTGCTGCTGCCGGCTCCGCTCTTTCTTCTTCCCGCGTCGCCGAGGATCCCGTTGAGGCGGTGCAGGGTCGACGTGCATAGGTCACTCGGCTCTGACCCTACGGCGCCCCCCCCGCCGCCACTGAAGGCCAGACACATCGTCCTGTGGTGACCGCGCGCACCGCTACCACCGCCGGCTTCGACGCCATGGCTGACTTCTTCACCGCCGTCGTGGCGGCTTGCGCTCCTCTCGAGGGACTCGCCGACGTAGGCACCGATCTCGTCTTCCTGGAGGAGCCGGTCCCCGTGCAGACCGAGCTCGCGCGCCGGGTGCAACACGAAGGGGCGGGCGTCCAGGCCCGGATTGTGGAAAAAGGCGAGCGTGGCGGTGACGGTGACGGTGACGGCGGCAGGCTTCTCGTTTCCTGCGCCCTGCTCTTGGTTCTTCTGCGACACGGATGCTGCCCGGGCCGGGGATGCTGGTGAGGCGAGAACGGGGGGGGGGGGGGGGGGGGGGGGGGGGGGGGG